ACCCCCTTCACCTCTAATTTGGGGGTGGTTAAGCCCCAGTTTATTCATTCTGCTCTTATTTTCCCCTCATCAGTCAGATACTTTTTCTTCCCTGGTCTACCTACAGAAAGCACCACAGCACCCCTCGTGAATGATTCATGAATCCAAACAAAACAAAATCATAAAAATAATCGTTACATAAAATAAAAGTACAAAAATAAGTTCCTCTACATATACCAACCATAGGTTTTTTTTGGCTCTTTTCTTTTTTTTTGACACTACCTCTGGTCATGAATTTCCCCAGTTATGACCTCTTTCTCTATCTAGGATATACTTTTCAGAATTTTCAGGATTGGCTTTCTTTCTTTTTCTTTCTGGATGATGGGGACATCATCTAATTTGGGGGTGGATGTGGTAAGCCACTCCTGAAATTTCAAAGTTATCAAGAGTACCAATCACAGAGGAATCACAGGATCAAGACACCACAGAAAGCTCCCCAGACCCCCAAACCAATCATGAATCCCCTCAAGCACAGACCACATGGATAATAATATTTCCCAGCAGAAACTCCACAGCCCTGAAACTCATTCCCCTCCAAACATATTCTATTCTTCTTACCCCTTGTGTTCCACACTAGTAAAGATCCCCTTGGCCATGAAACAGTTATTTCCTCCTATCTCCTTCCATGGAATATTCCACCCCTTATTTGTTTCATACTAGTAACCTTGAGAGCATTTTCCCACTGCTTGTTTCCCCTGTTTTCTCTGGATAAATACTTGTTTCATACTCTTCATAGAATGTTCCACTTATCTTCCAACCACAAGCTGGCCACTCCCCAGAATTTTGTATATAAGGAGCTTTGTTTTTCCCCTTCATTTGTTCCTCATCAGATCCTGCCCCAGCAATTCAGATAACTGATCACCCACTATTAGCCAGGTATTTGCCCATCAACATTTGGGATACCTTGATCTGTGAACAAGTATATTTAGACTAGTAAACATAAGAAATATTAGACATACCATCCTCAAGAAATCTCCAAAGCCACACCTTCCCTTAAGAGTCCATACTCTTATATTTTCTTGTTATCAGAGAGGCAGCCCAATAAAGCACTCATCCCTCTCAAGCTCTATTCCTCCCAAGAGTAGTTCCACACCGCTTGGATGAGGTACATGTACCTCGTCCATCAGAAGGAACGCCTTCCGCTTGGATGAGTTACATGTACCTCGTCCATCAGAAGGAACACCTTCTGCTTGGACAAGGTACATGTACCTCGTCCATCGGAAGGAAACCCTTCCAATGGATGAGGTACATGTACCTTGTCCATTGGTGTGGAACTGCTGAACAACCAGAACAAAGCTTAGAGGGGAAATAGAAAACTATACTACTAGTAATGTAAGTTAAGCTATGAGTGCTGATGAGGCTGCCCTCTGAGAATAATGCTGAGGGGAGAGGGTTTCACTAAGAATAAGAAAGAGGTGTGGCTAATTTTCTAACTGATTCTTAGACTGCTATAACTAATGAGGTTGTTCCTTATCAATCCTACGGTGTGGAACTGCTCAGCAAGTGAGTAAAGAGCTTAGAGGGGATAAAATAGCTAATAAGACTATAAAATAGTTGAATTAGTATTGGCGTGTGGGTGAGACTGCCCTCCTGTCTAGCTTGCGGGAAAGTTACACTAAGAAAAATAAGAGTGTGGCTTATTTCTAAATTTATCTTAGTGTTGAAACTACTATTACTGTTGCGTAAGAATACCTGTTGAAGAGGTAAGAAGTTTTATGGGGTTTTCTGAGTAATAAGGGCTTCTGTAGGGTTTCTCTGTTAAATCTGTTATAAAATTTCTCTGATTCTCTGATCTTATAAGTCTCTCTGGTTTCTCTGGGCTCTGATAAAGGTACTCTTATTTCTCTAATTTCTTTCAAAGAGGTGAGAATGGCTAAGTAATATTTCTGTATTACTTTTCTATGGCCAAAATTGAGGTAAGGGAAGTTCAAGGGCTCAAATAATCTCTGAATCTCTTTAATCAAGCGTGATGAAAGCTGAGTAATATCTCTGATTACTGTTCTGTAGCTAGCATGAGGAGGGAGAGAGCAAAACATGAGCCAGAGGAGCCTCTATTTATAGACAAATGGTTCTGCAGTACATGGGTTTTTGGCCTGAACACAAGTTCGTCTGAGAAGGGTACTTCTAGAGTAGTTTTTACTACTCTGAGATGGCCTAATCTGATATGAATTAATCTCTAAGTGCCTTTCTAGTACAAGAGGTTGTAAATCTACTATATGAGGCCTAGTCTTAGATTATTTAATATGAGAATGGTATTCTTAGACTAATTAGTATAAGAGTTATTTTCTGGAACTAGTCTGTGAAGCACTTTCTAATCAGTAGCTTGTTTTACTAATCTAAGATGAATGTATTATAGTTCTACAGGTTATTTGTATATTTTTTATTCATGGGAAATTGAATATCTTAAGCCCAATTTGTAAATTAATTAACTACAATTTAGCCCTGTAATATTTATGTGGTTTGTTTCCTAGCCTATTCCCTTCCCTCTAGTATTCTAACTACTATGTATATGTAATAAGGTGTTTTTAATTATGGGCTATGGGTTTGATTATTCTCACCACAACGGGGGAAGAAGTGAGACTATGAGGTATGTAAATAAAGCAGAGCTCTGAGGACACTGTGTGTAAAGGTATTTCTGGGGCAAGCACCTCAACAGGGCAAAGTCACTAGGGTGAGTTCTGAAAGTAAAATAGATTTTATCTGAGGTGCACAATAATATCTGTAGGGGAGGAAATGCATAAGGGGTGTACAAAATTGATAAGAAGACTGTATATATACTTCAAGGTACAAATGAGCACAGGTTACAGTCAGTCTGGCTATGGGAGCACAATGTACAAATGTAGCACAAGAGATGTGAAAAGTAAACAATCAAAAGGAGGATGAGTAAAGAAAAACAATCCCAAAAGATAAAGACTGTGAAAGAGTGTACTACTGTTATCCTGAAGGCATATGAGAAAGCATAATTGTAAGGAGTGTGTCTGAGAAAATATATGTAGTATGTAATGTGAAAAGAAGTACTTGTGAAGGAGTGTGGCTGATGTAATGAGAAGAATTATATGTAAGAAGATAGTACTTGTGAAAATTATGATGTATGTAGTAAACTGTAAATGTGTGCTGTATGTAGTTAATGTGTACAGTAAATGTAAAGAACAATATCTGTAAAACTAGAAATGCAAATAACTAATGAACCAGCAAGAAATGAGATATGGCTTGAGTCAGTTAGCATAAAATGATTGACTTGGGCAGGATTTGAACCAGCGACCTTAGCTTTAAGCTAAGACACTATACTAGAAGTGCTGCCTTTACCAACTAGGCTACCAAGTCCATGCCTGATGTGCTGATATTTAGAAAACTGTGGATTACAGAATTTCAACACCTTCCGCTCTTTCCTTCCGATGGACAAGGTACATGTACCTCTTCCATCAGAAGGAAAGAGCGGAAGGTGTTGAAATTCTGTAATCCACAGTTTTCTAAATATCAGCACATCAGGCATGGACTTGGTAGCCTAGTTGGTAAAGGCAGCACTTCTAGTATAGTGTCTTAGCTTAAAGCTAAGGTCGCTGGTTCAAATCCTGCCCAAGTCAATCATTTTATGCTAACTGTCTGCAAAATGCATTGTTAATTTTAACACGATTAACAGTCGAAATGTGCTATGCACATACTATGCATTTACATGAGATTATGCAATATGAACTTATGCAATATGCAACTTTGGGAAATATAAAATCCTACTTCTTGGGAATATGCAAGATGTTATTATACAATATGCAAAATCCGCTTATGCAATATGCATTATCCATGTATAGACTAGCTTAGAAATGGTTGACATTTGGGTCTCCTGTTCTCCCACTGTGGATTAAGGAGGTGTGTTGAAATTCTGTAATCCACAGTTTTCTAAATATCAGCACATCAGGCATGGACTTGGTAGCCTAGTTGGTAAAGGCAGCACTTCTAGTATAGTGTCTTAGCTTAAAGCTAAGGTCGCTGGTTCAAATCCTGCCCAAGTCAATCATTTTATGCTAACTGTCTGCAAAATGCATTGTTAATTTTAACAGAAGGGTTTCCTTCCGATGGACGAGGTACATGTACCTCTTCCAAGCGGAAGGTGTTCCTTCCGATGGACTGTACACCGGCTCGCCGGGAGGGGTTCCTCCCGGCGGTGTGACCTCAGCCTCTCTAGGCCGAGGGGGAAAAAAATGGGGCCGTCCCATAGGACCCATGCCTGGGTCCTATGGGACAGCCCAGGTCCTAAACGCATATAAATATGCGTTTAGGAACTAAAGTTGGGCGTGCAGGCAGGCACGCCAACCTGCAGGTGAATGGCTTGCCTGCCTGCACGCCATTCTGCAATGGCTTGCAGGTGCGCACGCCAATCTGCAGCTGGCGTGCGCGTGGGGGGTTGGATTGCGCTTATCAACCCCCGCACATGATGTAAGTGATTTTGCAATGTTTTAGGATTTCCCTGTCAACTGACAAAGTGTGGATGTACAGGCGCGTGCATTAGCTACACTGAAAGAAATGGTTGAAACACCGGGGTGCAAGTTGAACCTTAACCAATATCCTCCTTTATTTGTCGAAAATCCACCATCTGGCCCACCACAAACTCCCTTTAGCCTGAACTCCAAAAAAAAGGTGATGTACGAGCTCCAGCAAAAAGTCTTGACACCAGTGTTTCGTATCAGACTTATGGATTTGGATTAGGTGGAGTGAGTGTGTTTCCTTTGTATTCATCACAAGCCAATGGAATAAATACTGATTGCCAATTATGTTAGAAAAAATCGGCAGGAGTGCTTGACAAGAAGATTGCTTGTGATGGTAAATCGAAGTCAATCAAAACTGAGGAGCTACAGGGACACAATGATGGATGGAAAGAAAAGAAAATAAAACCGGAACTCCCTGATCCCCTCCGCAACTACAGCAACACCTTGGATAATCAGGCCCTTGCCAAATTGCGAAACAAAATGACTTTTTATTCCAAGCTAACCCTTGCAATCAACCTTGCTTTTTTGCCAGAGACATCAGATGTGGCGGTCAAGGCAGTGGATTACTTGAAAGATGAGGGGACTGATCTTGTTCAAGAGAGATTGAAGGTTGAAAAAAATGAGATTATTGCTTGTAAGTCTGATATCTCATGCCAAACTCCTGATGATTCTACAGATAAAAGAATACTTATTTTGATGATGCTGCAGCCCGCACAGTCAGTGTGAATACACAGATCCATACCCATCGCGATAAAAAAAATGCCCTGTTGTTTGATTCAGTTTACTTCTTTGGAAATCACAATGGTGGCAACTTTATTTTCCCATCCTTAGGTGTGGCTCTCACTGGTCTTCATGGCTACTCTGTACACGGCCCTTTCAGGATCCTCTACCATGGGGTGGCGCAATACCATTTCAAACAAGATATTCCGGATGCCCCTTACTGATTTTCTGTTGCCATGTGGAGCCGTGAGAGTTCTTTCACTTCAATTGCTAGGCATTCTGCCTACCACAAGAAGGATAATCAAGTAAGATCTCACAAATCAACATAGTCTGTTCTAATTTAACAGCTGATATTGTATATTGATTTGTGCCAGAAATACAGTGACTCCACCTATTGGCTACCAATTTATCCTGAATATAAATCCAACTCTGTCAGGGTGTACTTTGAAAAGTACCATTCTGAATCAAGGGACAGAACAAGAAACAATCAAGCCAAAAAGTAACAAAACTCAACCTCTTTTCCTTACTTGAATCATTAAACTCGACCTCTTTTCCTCACTTGAATCATTGAACTCCACCTATTTTCCTTACTTGATTCATTGAAGTCTGCCTATTTTCCTTATTTGAATCATTGAATAGCTTCTAAACATATAAGTCTCATGAAATAAAAATCCCCAAATTGTGTTGCCTGCCCAAATTTGAAGTTGTCCCTTCACAATGAATGTTGTTAAATTCATTTTTGAGAGATTTTGTAAGACCATTAGGCTAGTTCACTTTGCTGCTAGTTCAAAAAGAAAAGCATAACAAAATATTTCTTAAAGTTATGGTGAATTCCCATGCACAACATAAGCAAACATTTAAAGGACTAGTAGTGCAATAAAAATGCCCTAAGTGAACTGGGCTAATATATATAACATGAAAAAGGTCAAGTGATTTGCAGCATCTAATCCAAAAAGTTTGAGAATGATTGAAAATACTGAGTAGTCATCAACAAGTAGATACTATTATTATCCTATAATTGAGAAATGAAAAATATAATCTTGACTGCAATAAATTTTACTCTTCTTCAGTTTCAGTATGTTCAATTTGAAAGTGGGCGCTTTGGGCGTTGATAAACGCACACCAGCCCCCCTGGCGCACGCCAAACCGCACGCCAGGTGGGGATTGGCGTGCGGGCCTGC